GGTCACAAACTGCAAATTTTATAAAAATAGGTTACTCTCCAAACATAGAGAAATTGTTTACAACCATCAAGGTATAATCACCTAATAAAACAGCTCTTACAATATTCAAAAGAGAGATGAAAAAGAGAGAGATAATTGATGATGAGAAGCTTAAAAAGCTTATCTCAAAGAAATAATCTTCAAACTCAATCGTTATTCCTTCGAAGTTGATAAAAGAGATGAACACTTGTGGGTCGCTTAATACATTCGGTGTTACTGGACCTGAAAATACAGCAGCTAAAGGAGCCTTCTTGATCACCAGTGTCTCGGCAACAAAAACCCAAAAAACATAGATGCGGCTAGCTGTGTTTGGATCTTGAAGCAGAAACTACAACGATGAAAGGGAGTCTTCGCTGGACTTGGTCAGAAGTGAAGTAAGGTCCCGAAAAGAGACAACACAAAGGCCTTGGAGGAGAACATTGATGTCATCTTTAGATTGGCCACTTCTCTTACGCATTATTCTCCTTGCAATGATACTTTTCCCACCTATAAAAGATTGGGAAGAAAGAACACCTCCATAAAGGAGTAAACATGACAATGAATGTCCACACAAGCACATACCAAACGATATATAGGATCGTAGAAGCATACCAAATCTTTTGAGAATACATCCACAAAGAATGAGACTCTAACAAAGATAGTAAAACTAATTTTAACCATAACGCTTGAAGACTCCATAGACGGAAGACGGCTAGATTGTTCACAAATCCCATGAATGGGTATAGCTAATCTTAATATCATCTGAGTTCTAGAACACCAACAAATCAAAGTGATATGAGTGAACGGTAGCAAAAAGTAAACATTGTACCTGATCGAGACTAGTTCAAAGCCGAAACAGATCCGACATAGCCTGCACACAGCATTAAGGGATCGCAGAGACCCGAAGGGAGAACCTCCGGACAACGCCGGAAAGAGAACCACATAGATAGCAAAGAGCTCCAAACGGACCACATCAGAAACCGATGTATAGGCTGAGTTTGAAGGAGAAGAGCTCATATCTAAAATCTGGAAACGCGTTAGTGGAAGGGAGATGTAGGAGATGCCGGGGATTGAAAGTCAAAAGAGTCAGTGATCTAGATCCGGTGGGTCAGGGGGGTTGGGTGGGTCAGGTGGATTTGGTGCCGGATCTGGAGTCGAAACCGAAATCAAAACCCTTACAACCGAGGCGACAAAGGCGACATCTGGTAGAGAGACCGGAGATCGAGACCTTGCACTGCGCCCAACCATGAGAGGAGCACGATGAGGTGGAGAGGAGAAGGAAATCTCGCCGGAGGAGCGAGAACTTACCGTCGGCGGCGATTAGGGTACAAAAGTATTGTTAGGTGAGTGTGTTTTCATGTAAGCTTCTTTGCTTTTCTGCATAGTAGATAATTAAAACCAGTATTACTAAAATAACTGAAAGCCTACGAAAGATCGAATCTTTTGAGGTAAACTCAAAACATAAACCCAATTGTAGCGAAAGAATGTCACATTCTACAAATTAATACTCAATCGCACATTTTATCATAATAATATGATAAT